CTTCTTCATGGCGTTGGGAAGGGTTGGCACAAATAGAATGGCCACTGGAACAGAGTCCTCCATTTGGATGACATTGTAAATTAGGTCAATTGGCAGTTCAGCTAGCTGCTGGGTTTCCAACCCGAGGGATGTCACCATCCAGAAGACTTGCTCAGAGAATTGATCCAAGTCTTCAGAGGGGGATCCTGGACCTTGGGTGGTTATGATGTCCTCTGGTGATGTAGAAGCTGGTTCATCATATTCTGCCTCATCCAAAATGGAGGCATAGTCTGCCGGGATGGAAGATGTTGAGGAGTGAGTGGACAGTGAAGGCAATGCTCATAGCAGTGGTGCTGGGCACACTGGTTGCTGCTGGATGGCAGACGTTGTTCGCCCTGAGCCAGAATGGATGAGGAAGTAGGCCACAGATCCTCTTGCAGGAACGGGTTCCAATATTGCTGTTGGAAGCCTGTCTTTCTTTGTTCCCAGGTAAAATATGAAAGGCAGGTTTTTTAATGTTTAAAGCAGAGTCTGAGACAAGAATATGAGCCAAAGGAGCTTTATTCTAGTGCACTATAGAATAAAGGAAGACTAATGGGGTACGTGCCAAAAGCAGAGTCTCAAAGGTGCTACAGGAAAACATACATTATATACCCTACCTCAGAGGCTTTATTTCCTAATACACATCCGATACATCAGTACAGCAATGCTTCCCCTTGCTATCTAGTTCAAAGAGTTGAGGTATCTTATCCCTTTGCAATTCACACCAGTCTGTTGTTTTCACACCCTCTGCAATCCACACTTCAGTTTGTTACTCAGATAGGATTTAGAAAAGGATTAGAAAATTTTAGAAATGAAAAGATAAAGTTATTGAAGAGAGCTGAGGTAAAAAAGAGATTTTAAGTCATGAAGAGAGCTAGGAAGTAAATAAATCTGAATCACCCAAGGCGGTACTTGAAAAACTGGAGAAAATGGCCGGATCCCTGCCTCTATATAGCACTGGGGGAAGGGGATGGGGTTCCCACCCAAAACGCTTATCTATCAACAACAGGTCCCATGCAGGTACACAGTCCATAAGTGTGATGCACAGAGACCACAAAGAAGAATGGCTTGGGACCTGGATACCTAAAGGAATGCCTTCTTCCATATTTGCCCTCCTGCCCCCTGAGATCAGCAGCAGGGGCTCTCCTCTGGGAACCCTCCATGAAAGATATTAGGAGGCAAAGTACCCGGAGGAGGGCTTTCTCTGCAGTGGCACCCCATCTGTGGAACGCGCTCCCCAGAGAGGTCCGCCTGGTGCCGTCGTTATTTGTTTTTCGGTACCAGGCCAAGACCTTTTTATTCAAACAGTATTTTAATAACTTTTAATATTGGCTATATATGTTTTAATCTGCAGCCAGGGTAGATCTGGAATTTATTTGTATTATGTTTTATATTATTATTCTTATTTATTTATGTAAGCCGTCCTAAGGCTTTTGCGAAAGGACGGCATATAAATATTACAAACAAAGTCAAGTACTAACAAACAAAATAAACCCCTAGAAGGGCTTGCTGGTAAGGAGATGGTATACCCATCATACCCATTCATCACTAAAGACCCCCCCTTGTAGTTTCACTTCTCACTTGACAAGCTGTGTGACAGCTGTCAAATGAGAAGCAGTGCAATAAATGAATCTATTTGTTGCCTTAGTTTGTCAATGTCTATGGTGGTGGTTCCTATACCACCATCCAGAACATTGAAAAGGGAAGGTGGTACACTTGGAATAGATACCTGTACACCTCCAAAAACCCAAACTTTTTTTTAATGATTAAAAAATTCCATAATTCCCAGGTGGTGAACCAGTGACAACTGCTCCAATGTGCCACTTGGGCATTTCAAAGTGGCTCTCACATCTTGATCAGCAAAAACTAAAAGAGAAAAGGGGAAAACAAACTGCAGTGACTGCAAAGGTAGTATGATTAGGGTGGGGAAGTATAAGCCAGTGAAAATAAGTTCAAGTGACTTAGCCATTTGGTGTGGGTGTCATTGTCAGCGGCCCAGACAAGTTTGGCAAGAGCAACAGGACTTTTTCTCCTCTTGCCTTTCTCCTACCTGTTTCTGCACTTCACACTGGTTGACATGGATTAGCTTTCTACAGAATTAGGAAATAAATGTTTAAAATACATACTGATAGTGTTCTCTGGCCAGGGGAGCAGGGGCAGGGTATCTCCTGCCATCAACTCCACAATAATGGTGATTGCCATGGCGTGCTGGAACAGGGAGCGGAATGCTTGTTTGTCACCTATAAGTGGGGCCTTCCAGAACTGCTGCATCATGCGTAACAGTGCAGGCAGCAATGGCATGGATACTGATAGCACATCTCCTGGGCCAGGGGGTGAAAGACAGGGTCAGCTGGGTGAGATGGCTGCAGGCCAGAGTCATCCGCATGTGGGGGACAAAGTCAGTGATCTATTCCCCCTCCCGCTCAGAGACCTGGTCATGCCCTATCATGAGGGCTGGCCTTCGAGAGAGCAAGGAGAGGCTGGGGAGAAAAGCCAAACCGAGCTGTGGGAGAAACTCAGACCTGACTCCCATGAAGCAGAGTGGCATCCATGGAAACAGTGAATGAATTGTGTCAAGGTGGGGGGGGGGGCTGCGTGAGCAGCAGTGGTGGGCCCTTCAGTCATGGGCACAGCCAGAAGGGCAGTCAGAGACCAAGCCGGGGCTGGGCCAGAGATGGCAGGAGATGAGGCAGTTCCGATGGTGAGAGCCAGGGCTGGTGTCATGGGTGACCCCACAGCAAGAAGGGGCGTGGAAATGTCACGTGGAGAGGGCCTCGCTCAGGCAATCATGTCAGGAGCAGTCCTGGCCCCCGTGTTGGCAGGCTTGCTCTACGGGGCACTCTCCTTCTGCTTGCATGTGCACCCTGCGTCTCCCGGGGAGAGAGATTGAGGATGGCGGTGGGTGGTGTGCCTCAGATTTCCATGGTAGGTAAGTCTGTCCTGGTCAGTGACTGGCAGCACAGCAGTGGCAATGACAGGAAACTTAGGGCAGGCAAGGTCAGCCACTGAGCCTTCTGAAAAGTCAGAGTCACTCCAGATGGGGCAAGGCCTCCTTTGCAGGTGGCAGCCACAACAATCGGGCCAGAGGTGTCGGACTGGTGGTCTGAGAGAGAGGAGGCCAGAGACCAGGAGGAAGAGGTGCCCCAGTCTGAGAGGGAGGAATAGGGAAGTCCCCAGGGTCCCTTGGGCAGTGATGAAAGACCCACGGCTGGTGGGGGTGACTCCTGCAGTAGTTCCCTCAGCAAATGAGAGGCACAGCGGGTGGGCACTGTGTGCATGCGGGGCTGAATTGCATGGTGACAGCAATTCAAGTGCTGGCAGTCGGCCCATAGCTGTGGGTCAAGCACACACCTCCTGGGAATTCTCATCTGGGACTACAGGCACAAAGGAGACCCCAGGATCCAGAGTGCATGGAGAGAATAGCAGTCTTGATGGCATGGAGGTCCCTCTTCTGGGGAGCAACCTAAGTTCTAGATGGCACCTCTGCCAGCGTGGCAGGCCTCCTCCTAACAGCCATGTGGTTCCTCAGTGCAGATCTTCAGTGGTTCCTCAGTGCAGATCTTCAGTGGTCCCTCAGGGGAGGTCTTCAGCCCCAGTGTGGGGGAGTCAGCAACACATAGGGCACATTGTCCAAGCATAAGTATCAGGTGGTTAGTGTGAGCACAGGTATCACTGATGTGCCCTCACCAAGGCAGAGGAGGAGCCAAGAGTAGCCGACCTTGGTGGAAATGAAGCAGCTCATGCGGCACAGCAGAAAGCCAGGCTGGCCATGTGCAGTAGAGCAAGCACGTGGAGCAAGAAGCGAGTGAGAGAGAGCGCGAGAGGCTGGGGAGGGCAGCCTCATATCAGTTGAGATAATAATAGAGAAAAATTAACATTTTGAGGGGAGGGGTTAGGGAAAGAAGAGTAAGAAGAAGAAAGTGTGAGCTAGTAAATAAAAAAGGACCAGCAGAAGGTCCGATTCAGTGAAGTGACTGCAAGAGCAGTCGAAAAGGAACTGAGGGACTGGGCAAGAACCCCCTTTTAATCCAGGCCCCCAGAAGGGGCAGGGCAGGGCTCCTGCCCACTCTATGACACTGAGCTGTGCAAATTTTTCTCCAATCCAGGCCTTACCCTGTGCGGCAAAGTGTGTATGTGATGTACAGAGACCATGAAGAAGAACCCTGTACCATGACTGAACCACATGCAGTAGCTAATCCTTTCCAACTATATCATGGTTTAAACAATCCTCAGAAAAAAATCCATCACATCTCAAGGGGTGAAGTTGCCACTGAAATGAATTGCAGCTTGGAGAGACAAAGATTTTCCTCAGGGTTCCAGAACAATCTTCCCTATGCAATTCTGATTGCGGTCTCATAGCATTCTTTTAAAACTACATGAGATGCATGACTGCAGTTCACAGATTACCTAGTTTCACTTCAGGCTACACAATGGGCCAGTTTGCTTGATCAAAACAAGCCACTATGATTTATTTAAGGTGTGGCATATGCTGGGTACAATTTCATGTGTTGTGTAATTCAAACTTAGGGGACATGGTTTATTATAAGGGGAAACAACACTAATTACCCATGAGCTGTTGCAAGGTTATTGGAGAGTTGTTTCCCTGTCCAGATTTGAACAACATGACAAGTTATACTTGAGCAGTGAATTTGCAAATTGTGCCCTGCATGCAGAATTGATTTAAATAAGCCAATCTGGCTTACTTTGTAGTGCAAACCAAGGCACACACATCTACTCCCGCAATAACTTCATTTTCTGTTATTGTGTAATTTGACAGCTGGTACACTATGAAAGAGAATATCTATTTCATTCCAGTGTTTGACTATAATTCCCCTAAATCATGAGTAGCAAACCACTACATTTCTCAGTCCAAAGAGCAAGATATTTCTGTAAGAAATTTTGTACTTGACAAGGGAGGGAATTATTATTATTATTATTATTATTATTATTATTATTATTAATCCAAACTGACAGCTCACCTAACTTTACAGGAAAGCCTGGTGGAAGTTTCATCTGCACAAATTCCCGCAGTTTATTAAAGTGCTTGAAGGGTGCAATTACTTCTAAAACATTCAACAATCTGAAAAAAGAACACAGGTGACAATTTGGTTTCTTAGCTGCTTTAAGGTTTACATTCAATTACATTGTAAGCTGAGGAAAGGTGATGTACAGTAAATAACTGCAAATGACTCAAGCAAATGAGCAAAGACATTTCAGGAAAGATATTACACTTTGTCATTGATAGCATGTATGAGACTGGATCATTCTGACCTAATATAATGTCCAGTGTATTTGTACAATGTATAAATAGTCCCATGTAAATTCTGACCTAGTGCTGCTCACAATGCAATTATGTGTCCATTTCTAGTCAAGTGCAACTAGTAGAATGATTTCCAGATTTTCTTTCTTTTGGTTTGTTAAAATTTTAGAACCATTATTTCCCCTCAGCTCAGACTGTAGTTTCCAAAGTCTATTAAAGTGTCATTTAATGAAGAAGTCCAGTTGTAAAACTCCAACCAAAAAATGAGTTTCCTTTTGAAACTAACAACTTTTCCTTACTAATCATAACAACAGAACAGTCTTCCAAAATTCCACTTTAGAAACTACATAATGGATGAAAAAAGTAGTTGTTGTCAGGGAATACAAACAGAAAATATGGGAAAACATTATAACACTTTAGAAAACTAGCTCTTTCTCCAAAGCAAGTGACCAAATATTGCTATTTTTACATTAAAAAGGTAAAGGTTTCCCCATGACACTAAAGTCCAGTCATGTCTGACTTTTGGGGGTGGCGCTCATTTGTTTCCTAGCCGAGGGAGCCAGCGTTTGTCCGCAGATAGTTTCCGTGGTCATGTGGCCAGCATGACTAAACTCCGAAGTGCACAGAACACTGTTACCTTCCTACTAAGTGGTACCTTTTTATCTACTTGCATTTGTATGCTTTCGAACTGCAAGGCTGACAGGAGCTGGGACAGTGTACAGGAGCTCACCCCGTACTCTGTCCCAGCTCCTTATGTGCCAATTTCCTCAGTTACTCTCTTCAAAGAAAACATGTAAACTGGATAACTTTTCAGATTATAAGTGCAGTGGTTCTACCTGATTACTTCTACAATAGGGTATACTGCAGGTACATGAAGTATATTTTCCAAAATTCTTGGAAACCATTGTTCCATGCAGTCCCTATTTAATGCCAAATTATGTGACCACTGTTTTTAAAAAATGTATACTACACACCAATAGCGTCAGAATCTGTGTGCTTTGATTTTTGACAAAAACAAAAACAATAGGAACTACAGGCAGTCCTCAGGTTATGAACAAGTTCCATTCCTGAGAAAACAGAAAGGCATCTTTAAGCCGAATTTGTATGTAAGTTGGATTGTGTATAGTTGGCCCTACACATTCAGGAAGGTTAGAGGTGCAGAATTCCAGTGAAAGTAAAAAAAAACCCCAAATATCTATAGCCCCCACCCCAACCCACCAGTATGTCCTCTTTGCAGCAAGGAAATGCCAGAGCAATTTCCCTCTCTGGATGGATGAGGCAGGAAGGCATGATTTGGAGATCCCGCTTTCTCCCCTTTCACTTCCTTTCTCTCTATGGCAATGATGATTTTCTGCAGGAATTTTTAAAAAATAATAGGCTTTGGGGCCAGTCATTTGTAAGTAAGGGTTGTTTGTAACCTGGACATTTGTAACTCTGGGACTTCTTGTACTGACAATACATAACACAGGGTTTTACAATCTTGCTTACCCACCTTGCTATATAATATGCAATAAGAATGATCAGAATCCTAATTTTCTCCTAGACATCTGTTTTCCTATTCCACAACTGTTTTCCTGTGACAAGAATGCACATTACACTCTGGAGTAAGCACTACTCTGTGCACAGTTCTGTATTCAGCAGTATATTTCAAATTCATCACATGTCCTTCACAAACTTTTGTAACCGACAGTTCAGACTTACGATTCAATTCCTAGAGGAAATTCTTGACTCATGGCTATTGTGGCTTTAAATGTTTTCTTGCTTTCTTTGCAGACCAGTTCTCTACCCAAATGAGGTGCTCTAGTTAAAGAAAATGTCAATGAAAACCTAAGTTACACAAACAGTGAGAATTTGGAATGCATTTCTGCCATGCTGGAAAGCAGGTTGACAGAAGTTGACAAAAATTGAAATGGTTCAAACAGCAGCAATTGAAACAGACAAGCAGGTCTGTAAGATGAAAGTAATTAACAAAAATATTTTAAAAGGAGAATGAAATAAAGAAACACACAATTGAGCCATATAAGATTCCATACAGTAAAGAGTGTACTCTCCAAGAATCAGTGGCCAGAATCTGAACAGCTGCTCAGACAAGCCCAAAAACTTGTGTACTCCATGGAATGTATTGTTTTTCTTTGAAAAAACAATCCTCACACATTTCAAAAACATTATGCTATTGTAACATGGAGACTAAAGTATTGAAATGAATGGGATGTAAGTTCTTTATTTATTTATTATATCATTTCTATACCACCTAACTGCCGAAGCTCTCTGGGCAGTCCAAAGCAACATATTAAAAAACAATATAAAATATACACATTACAATATATTAAAACATCATTAATGTAGGCTATGTAGCAAGGGGACAGCATATAAAAACATTAAATAAATAAATAAATAAATAAATAAATACAGTTTAAATAAATAAATAATAGTTGGCAATACAAAATTTAATTTTTATTCATTTAATTTCTAACATCTTTAATTTAAATGAGTCTACTAGACACAGGAATAAAACTGGATAACAGCCACTCACAATGATTAGCCAAGCAAACTTATTCTACAGGTCTTTGGATCTTGGTCAATGAACTGGATGTGAATGGAAATAATGTTGATTTCTTTTTTAAAGGAACTGTTTGCTCTGCAAGCCCTAGCAAGGGAAACCCCCTGGTGTCGCCTGATGCAGGTCTTAAGAGTACTCGAAAAAAATGTTGTGCACCCCTGGAGTAAAAAGTAGGAGAAATTGTTTCATGTGTTCATATTTGCTGCTTGCACTGAACACATACTTATGAGGTTAGCCAAGGACAGCCTCTTACACAAGAAACTTGCCTGTGACAGCCAGTCTCACACATTATTAAGTTTCACAAGTGTGCACTTTTAAATACCAATAATGGCAAAGGGCTGAAGCTCTTTGGTTACTTCATGCATCCTGACAGAGGGGCTATTCTCATTGCAGAAATTTCTTGAATATGTTTCAAAAGAAAGTGTGCCAATGAAAATAAATCAGTACATAAAAGCAAGTAACAAATAGCAATAGATTTTTTTAAAACAAAGACTTCTTAGACTTCTTACTCAACAATTCAAAATTTATATGTGTGTAATGTGTTTTTGTTCCTCACAATGTGAAATATTCTAAATATTTTGCAAGTAACCTTAGTTACACAAAGCAGTAGTTATCATATGCATTTATACTCACTTTCCATTTTCGGCAGATATGTATTCTTCCCATGTAATTGTGTTGGGTGGAGGTGGGGTTAGAGATTGCCTCCTGACAGGCTGTTTAAGGAAAACACATAATAAGTCTTTGTAAATTAAAGAACTGTACTTCTTGGTAGGCTACCACTATCTAGCATACAAGCATATTGGTATTCATTTACTTATTAACATTGATATTCTGTTTCTCATTTGAAACAAATCCCGAAGTTGTTTTTTAAATAAATGTTATTAAATGAACTTATACAAACAATACAATTAACATTAGTGTAATGAACATAATTAAACACTATTAATAAACATAAATAAACAATACAAGAATAACAGTGCTACCTCCACCAGGACCAACAAATCATGCCAGTTAATATAAGATTATTTATTCATTCAGGTTGCCCCACTCACAGTTTCCTTCCAGAACTGCACTGACTCTTCTGATGGTTTGCAACCCTTTCCTTTTATTAAGACATATTCAATAAATGACCTTCAAATATTTTCAAAATTATTTTTACTTATCAAACCTTTTTCCATTTAATATGGCAAGTTAACATATCATTAATAGCTAGATTCCAGACTTCTTTATACCAGACTTCTTTGATAATCACCCTTCCTTTCTATTATTACTCTTACTACTGTTAATAAAATTATTATCAATTCTTTAGTATTTTGTCCCACTTGTTCTCTAAATAATGACAATAATGCTAGTCCAGGATCTACTTCACTGATTAAATTCAGTATTTTACTGATTTCTTTGAAAACCACTTCCGAAAACTCATTTTTATATTTCCACTCCCACCACATATGGAAATACATACCCACTTCCTGGTTGTATCTTCAACATGCATTGGAATATTCATTATTCATATAATTCAATTTAACCAAAGTTGAGTACTATTTCCAAACTAATTTATAAAAACTTATCTTCTCATATCAGTCCTCCCTTCTAGTAATACATTGTAAATTTTACTTGTTGTTCCTCTCATCCACATATTATCTTATTTTTCTTTCTGTAAAATTATATCTTCAAATTTAGTATATTCTCTACAGTTACCATTTTTCTTCAACCAATCTTTAGTCCAATGATCTAACTGAAGTATACTGTACCAAGTTACTTTACCCGGTCCCTATATTGCTTATATTATTTCTTTACTCTTCATTTTTTCTCTCCAATCCTTCAACTTAAAAACATGTTTACTCTTCAGTACTTCCTCTATCTTTAAAAATGGGTTTTCTATCTTTTTGATTATCCAGTTGCAGTATATTATCTGGTATATTTATTTGGAATTTTTGTATGCTGTCCCATTTGCATAAGCCTCGGGATGGCTTCCAACATCATAAATAAATGCCTCATTTGATTTGCTATATAATTTTTCACATTGGGAATACATAAACCTCCTGTTTCCTAGGGCATATACCATCTTTTTAGCAATCCTTGCTTTTTTATCCTCATTACAACATTTATTAATCATGTTTTGCCATTCTTTCAAATCTTTCTGTGTTAACTTAATTGGCAACATCACAAACAAGAAATTAATCCCAGGTAAAATCTTTTTAAATGCTACCATTCTACCAACCCATGATAAACCAATCTTTCTAAATTCATTCATTTTCTCTTTCATTTCTTATTTTAACTTATCAAAATTATTCTCTTTTAAACATTGCAATTTTTGTAATATTTACACCTAAATACTTAATAATGTAGGTGTATATATTACATATCTTCTAACCTGACTTCTTAACTATGTTAAGTATTCTATTTAATACTTAACATATCTTCTAACTTGCTCTTAATCTCATCCTTTTCTACATTATTCAGTTAAATGATTCAGTTAACTATTTAACTAAGCTATTTTTAAAAGAATAAAAACAGAAAACAACCAAACAAAAATTGCCCCCCCCCCAACACACAGTGATCTAGTTCACTTGAAACAAGTACAAATTGCATCTGTGTTGTCACTGAATCATGTTTTGTTGCTGCATGGGTTGTTATCACAGTTGGAATACAGGGAGAGAGTGGGCAAAGCAGGAGGGATAAAAACAACACAGAACCTGAGAAAATAAATCATGAACTTTTTTTTAGTATCTGCCAGAGAAATAGGCAGGTTGCTTACCTTTAACTGTCAGTCTTTGAGTGGCCATCTGTGCAATCTCACATATGAGTGCTGTGCCTGCACAGTGCCCATATTCAGGAAGATTCTCTCAGTTAGTAACCATTTTTGGCAGGAACCCCCACCCCTTCATATAAATGGGCAGATTCTCTGCTTCATCGCCAGTCTACCTGGAGACCAACCATTCGGCCCAACTAGTACCAACATGATAAAATATAATACATGATAGACATGATAGAAACAGATTATATTGTATGAACCCATTCACTAACACTGATGCAGGGCTGGTGGGTGGATTGTGTGAATGCACAGATGACCACTTGAAGAACGACAGTTCTAGATAAGCAACCTGCTTTTCTTCGCCGTGGTCTCTATGCATCACTCATGTGGATGACTAGCAAGCTTACCGAACTTGGAGGTGGGACGGTGTCATTATCAAAGGACAGTCAAAAGGGCGACACAGCCAAAAGAGAAATCCATTCTAGCCTTTAAGTCAAGATGGTAATGTCTGATAAAGGTGCATGGGGTGGACCACGTAGCAGCTTTGCATAAATCTTGTACTGGTATGCCTGCATGTAAGGCTGACGAGGTGGCTGCAGCTCTGGTCAAATGTCCTTTTGGAAGGATTGGCAAGTCCAATTTAGCAAGTTGGTATGAAAGCTTTATGGTTTCAACTATCCATTTTGAAAAGTGTTGGGGTCCTATTGGTGTTTCCCTGTCATGTTCAGGGTACTTTATAAACAGTCACTTGGTTTTCCGGAACAGTTCGGTTCAGGATCAGAAAAAAGCAAGTGATCTGCAGACATTAAGATTGTGGAGTGACCATTCAACTGGTGTTGATGGCTTGGAAAATATGCTGGTTACATGGTATCTTAAGATGGAATGTTGTCGCCACCTCTGGAGGAAGATTGGGTCCATACGGAGGAACACCTTTTCCTTATGGAATTTCAAATATGTGGGGGGAGGGGGTCATCCCAATGGGTGCATATTTCACTTGCCCTCCTGGGCTGAAGTTATAGCCACCAGGAAGGCCATTTTTCCATAACCTTAAGCCAGTGGAGGCTAATGAATCAAGTGGAGGTTTTGTTAAAGCCTGCGGGACTACTGACAGACTCCATGTCAGTACGACCAATCAGATCAGAGGGTGTAGGTTTTGGAGTCCTTGTAGGAACCAATGTACTAATTGGTGTGAGAACACAGTCGAACCCTCTGTATGTACAATATGACTGCGAGGTATACTTCTGATGGACAAGGGTTCCAAGACCCCTTGATGTAGCGAAAGAAGGAATTGAAGAATATTCTTGATGGTTGCAGATTCAGGCAAGAACTTGTTACTGATCGCAAATCATGTAAAGAATTTCCATTTCGAGCCAAACAATCGTCGAAGATTTGGGCATAGGATTGAACATAAAATGTACTGAATGTCTGGATGAAGAGTGTCAGTACCAAACCTGATATCAGAACTGAGCTCAGTGCATTAGTCATGCCATTAGTTTCACGGTGTGCAAGTCGGGATGTCAGATCCTGTCCTGTTGTTAAGTGAGGTCTGGAATTTCTGGCAGGTGAATATACATCCCTCAGGACAGCTGAAGCAGGGTTGAGAACCAAGCCTGGCAAGACCACCACAGAGTGATCAGTATGCCAGTGGTGTTGTCCTGTCTGATCTTCGCTAGCATCTTCATTATCAATGGAATTGGGGGGAAGACATAAAATAGAGCACTGTTTCATGGAATCATGAATGCAGCGCCTAGAGAGTTCTGTCCCATCCCTGCTCTGGAGCAATATGCATCGCACACTCTGTTCTGATGGGTCATGAACAAGTCTATCGAGGGCATTCCCCACTGATCGAGGAGGTGGTGACAGATTTCTCAACTGAGGACCCATTTGTGTGTCATAGACATGTAGTGACTCCACAAATCCACCTCTTTGTTCTCGATGCCGGCCAGGTGAACTGCTTGTTATGTCCATTCCGTGATTGATGAACTGGTTCCATAAACGAAGAGCAAGATGTGCAAGTAGAGCTGATCTCCTTTTGTTCACACAGAACACAGTGGAGATGTTGTCTGTGGCTATCTGTATGGTCTTGCCCCTCAAGATGGTTCAGCATGTGGTAAGGAGATGGTCTTGGTGTTGTCCATACTGAAGGAGGATGGAATGAAGGCTTACTTGGTACCAATGCACTCTGTTCCATTTCAGCTTGGTATGGAACATCTGTGCTGAATGAGAATTCTGTGTGTTTTTCTTGTCTGGCTTTTCTTTTCTGGGATACTTTTCTTTAGCAGCCCCTTCAGTCTCAAGGTGCTTCCTTTTCTCCTTGTGCTTTTTAGGAGATTGAAACTGTCCAGAGTGCTCTTTGACTTAGTGCTCTCTCTATGTTCAGCACATGGAGGGGCGCTTCCTTCGGCTGCTGAAGGGCTGGCAGACTGGGCCACGGTAGCCTCTCTCATCACGATCAAGGCTCTATCCCAGAGCTCTTTCTTGAGAAAGTTTTCGCAGTTCTTGCAAGCCTGTTTTGTGAAGGCTTGACAATAGATGCATTTGCCCACATGATGTCCTTCACCCAGAGAGAGCAGGCAGAGCGAACACGTGTTCATACATGGCATTTTCGCTCCGCACTGGGCACACCTTCTAAAAGCAGAACACTGTGCCATCGAGGGAGAATAAGAAAGTATAGGGTAGAAAGAGAAAGGTGATAGATGGGTGTGTGTGTGTATTGGGAGGGGGGAATATGTGAGGAGAAGGGGGAAAGGGAAGGGCTTGTGATGGGAAGGTTTTGAGGTTGTGGAACAGAGGATTTAAAGGAAGGTTCTAAAGTTTTAAAGATTAGGTAAGCAAAGAAGTTTGTGAGGGAAATTGAAAGTAATGAGAGAACCCAAGGAACAGCAAATGGCAGTCGAAAGTCAACTGGCAATAGGGTGGGGACTTTGCCCTTTTATACAAGGGGGTGGGGGAGCAGAGTTCTCACCAAAAGTGTTACCAGCTGAATCTTCCTGAATTCAGGCACTTTGCAGGTACAGCACCCATATGTGTGATGCACAGAGACCATGACGAAGAACCTGGGTTAATGTTATTTATTAACCAGGTCACAAACAGAATGACTATGTTTCTACAACTTGATAACCCATCATGTGAGGCCGATTGTGATAAGCTGTTGTGTTGTCCAAACATGAAGCAATTTGTTCAGGATAGCTTATTTATCAGTGACAAGCCACAGAGAGAACCCATGCCTTCTTTAGCTTCTTGTACCCTATGTAACTTATTTAAAGGGATGACTTAGAGCGATGTGCAAACCTATCTGATAGTATCATGAGGCTAGTACAAAAAGAGCTAATTGCTGAGAAAAAGACAAAGCCACAGATATGTTTCTAATATGCCCACAAAACCCCACCACAAAAGTGCCCTGCAACCCTGGGAGGTGACCCAGGACAATAGCATTATCAATGGTTTCAAAAGCCATTGTAAGAGTGAGAAATATTGACAGTTCCATTCCCTTTACCCCTCCCATTAAAGGTCATCTATCAGGGCAAAAAGGCCAATTCCATTCTGTTACTAGGTCAGAATCCATACTGATGTAGGTATCCTCCAAGAACACCTGTAGCTAAGTCACCACCTCTCAAGCACATTGCCTGAAAAGGAGATATTCACCTTCAGGCAGTAATTATAAACATCTGGATCATGGAAGGGCTTTTGCAGGAGCAGTTGTACCGCTGCCTCCTTAATGGCAGTAAGAACAACCTCCTCACATAATGATGCATTCACCACTTCCTAAACCCATCCAGTCAAGCCACTCAGCTACCTCAAATAAGCTTTGATGGATAAGGGTCAAGAAGACACATGGTGGGTCAACCTGCTACAACAATTTTGCCCATGTTTCAAGCCACAGAAGCAGAAACTGATTCCACAAAACTGACTGATGCATAGGGCAGCTCATTTGGACCCATTACAAACAGCAGCATTATGGTGAGCAATTTTATCTCACCCTTCCTCCAAGCAATGGGGCAGCTGATATGGCTGAATGCTGGAATTCCCAATGGCAGTAACTGATCTGCTGGCAGCTCTATGCTCAAGCTCCTCAAAGCATATTCAATATACCCTACATTATTGGCAGGGAAACTTAGAGTATATTTTTTCCCCACATTACTGATTGGGACCTAAACACCAGTCAAACCAGCACAAATAGTGCCATCCTGACGTTTTGGACATCAACATCTATCTGTTGCAGCCAGCACAACCACATTGGTCAGGAATTCTGGGAATTGTAATCTAGAACATCTGTAGGGCACTAGGCTAGGGGATGGATGATTGGATGGATGGATCGCCTCTGGCACCTTTCTTCCTGCAGAAGATTAAGTTTCAACATCATCAATATAAGCTAGTATTTGGCTCACTGGTGTCTGCCTACAAGCAAGCTCTCAGCATGCCTTTAAAAACCTAATTTATAACTTGACACTACAACTATTAAGTGTACCATTCATCTGTTATCTGACAAAGCAGTACCCTAAACTTTCCATTAACAATGACACCACCTTCTAACAACTTTTAAAACTTACCAAATTACTACCAATCCTTCAGTAAAACAAAACTATAACATGCCAACTTGTTCTGGTGAAACTATAAAGGCTAACAATATTCTGCATGAGCAGAAAAAGCACTCTTAAATGTATAGTTATTCACAAACATCACACTACCTCCTGGGGGAACAAAAGAAAGCAGCACACATGAAAAATAAATCTTCAAACTTTCAGCTTCTGGGCAAAAATTAAAATGGCTCCGGTTCTGAAATTATTCAGAGAAAATAATTGGAAAATTGGCTGACAGCAACACAAAAGTCGCACAGAATGAACGAGTGGCAGAAGTATCAGCAAAGAATTCTAGTACACAGCATAATATACAAATATTGCTGCTTACTAAACCAGAAAAAATGTATACTAAAATTTAGGTGGTACTGTCTGGAAGGTCACACTTCATGCCAATCACATCAAAAGATGTTTGAACTATCCCCTGAAAAGCAAACATTAAATTTTCACCAATTTGTGAAAATTGTGGAGTGACCACAATGATTAATTAGTAGAGTTAGCGAGTTTCAGAAAATTTGGCAGCTCAGTGCAAGAAAACAAGCGAGCCTAATGTGGATTGCCAAGGGAATGCTTTCATTGCTAGTGTTTAAGACTGGTACTTCCTAAATTCAACAAATATTCAGATTTCTGTATCAATATAGAGATGGTTAAATACACAATTTAACAAAAATTGAACTTTACCTCAAAGTTTTGTTCCATCAAATTTCCACCTTTACTCAAGCTTTCCATGATAGCCTTATTTCGAAGAATATCTTCCTCACTGAGATGTTCTCGTCTTTTCCTTGATTCTAAGACAAGCCCATTAACCAGGTAGAAATCTGCCAAGAAGTTTCCTACCCTTTCCTGCAAAAGAAAGAAAGAAAGAAAGAAAGAAAGAAAGAAAGAAAGAAAGAAAGAAAGGAAGGCGCACACATGCACGCAAAAACCCACAGTGTTTGATACAAAGACTGCAACTACTATGTCAAGACTTGGTGTTTATTGTCCATCTCCTCATCAATTCTTTCCCCTAATTACTTGTTTTTCTTCAATTATCACTGGAAACAGACTCTCTTCTAGGAACCTAACTTTTAACATGCTTCCTGTTAACATGATAACCTGGGCCACATTATCTTACTGTTATCTTTTTGGAGCACATTAGCACAGGATAGAAGAATGTCTCAGGATAAAAGCTGGCTTACTGTCTTATCTTCTCGGAAAAGCCATCCTGTTTGGGCACGTGTGAAGGTTATTGATTTGGTTGATAATGTTGCTGAATAAATATCACTGCTCATCAAAATGTCAACTTCTTCCTCTGTTTCCATCTCAGATTCCTGAGAGCGAAAATGCAATTCCATTTTTAAGGGGGAAAAAAAACCCAGTTTAACAGAAGTATTAGCTTCTATTTTAGCCACTTTCTGTTCAAATACTAGACTTCTAATAATCAATGCATTTTGGCATTAGTTTTACAACTGTGACTACATTTTCACAATGCATTTCACTGATCTAAAAATCTATCACTGCAGAATTTGCTAATTTCTTGGGTACCAGATTAAACTGTACTTCAATTTCAGCTTCTCAGCTTCTTTCTACAGCTATACGTACATGTCCAGTGGGACATTTGAAAACCTTCTATAGAAATTCCTCTCTTGCAGCCTCCTCAGAACCTAGATGTATCATGAGTTATTCAGATTAAATAATGAAATGACACCACTGCCATAAAGAAAAAGGGGATTTTGAAAGGTCACTAGTAATCTATATAGCAAAGGAACTTATATACATAACAGACAGTAGCTGAGAAGTTTACTAATTAGGTTTTCTATAAAGAAGTAGATAGGCAGGTTGTTTGTAACTGTCATTATTCAAATGATCATCTATGCATTCACATATTTGGGCTGTGCACCTGCATTAAGATTTTAATTAAGATTATAGCTGAAAGAACCACTTTTGGAGGGAACCAATTCCTGCCCATTCCTTCAGTTCACTCAAGAACAACACTGTGGCCTTGGGCTAAAGGGAGGATTCAGTAGACCAACCTCATCACTGGTCAAAATCAATCTCTATGTAAAGAACAAACATGTCGATATAAGACACCAAACTGGAAGTGGTGAGAGGGTTGTGTTAATGCACAGATAACCACTTGAAGAATGACAACTACATATATACAACCTGCTTTTCTTCTTCATAATCTCTGTGCATCACACATATTGACAATTAGAAAGTTTACTTTCCTGAATGGTGGGTTGGTGTCATTGCCAAAGGACTGAAAAAGGACTGCTCTCCAGGAGGAACAATCTGCTCTGGCACAGACATTGAAATTGATGGAGTAGACCAGGTGGCTGTTCTACAAAGGTCTAGAAGAGGAATTCCAGCAAGTACAGCAACGGAAGTTTCCTTCACCTGAGTAGAATGGGGGCCTTTAGCAGTACTGAGATCTGCAGAATGGAAAGCTCATAAGCCAGGGAAATAGTTTGCACCACCCAGGATGCTAGTCTTTGAGAACAATCAGGGAGTCCTTTGTTTTTGTCTTGTAGCAAATGAAAAGATTTTGAGAGCAGAGAAATGACTCAGTCCTGGAATGGCAGAACACCACTGGTCAATTAACATCTAGTGTATACAATGTTGAATCCATAGGATTCAAGGGGGAAGCAAGGAAGGATGGTAGAACAATGTCCAAGTTGATATGAAAATTAAATATTGTCTTGGGGAGGAAAGAAGGGTCTACGAGCAGCACCACTTTGTCTCTACAGAAGACCAGGCATGAAGTATCCACCCTAAGGGAGCACATGTCACTGAAACAGCAAGCTGAAGTAATCACCACCAGGAGAGCAACTTCCCACAACAGCAGGCATAAATCAATTGCCACCATGGGTCTGAATGGTTTTCTTTAAGGGCTTACAGAATGACAGAGAGACTCCCGTTAAGCATTAAAGAACAAGTTGGTGGAGCGATGCTCTTGAGCCCCTGGAAAAAACATCAAGACAAGGAATGGAAAAAACTGATGAACCTTTGATCAGTATGGGGAAAGCTGACGTTGCTGCCAGGTAAACATGGGTGGGCGATGTCTTCAGCCTCCACTAAAACAGTAATCTGAGGAATACTTGTTCTTTCATGCATTAAGGTGGATCAAAGCTCTCCTGCAATGCAAAGGAGAACACTTTCCATTTTGTGGCATAAGATCTTCTGGCAGTGGGCTTCAAAGACCAATCCTAAGTCAAGTGCAGTCCTTCCGGAAGGGTGGTAAGCTCCTTATGTAAGGGTGGGCGGAGGGTTCCTTCTGAGTTACAGAATCTTCCTGACAACAGGATCTACACAGGTGCAGAGTATGTATGTGTGATGCACAGAGACTACAAAGAAGAATTATAGTTCAGCTTTTTGTATGCCTATTGTATTATTTCCAAGGAAGAACCGGACATATGCTGGCAACAATTTTCATACAATTTTTTAAAATTACAGTCTATCACAGAAGTGAGAACACCCCTCACATTTTGTAAATATTTTATTATATCTTTTCATGTGACAACCCTGAAGAAATGCCACTTTGCTACAATGTAAAGTAGTGAGTATACTACTTGTACTCACTTTTGTTGCCAGCAGTTCAGACATTGATGTCTGTGTGTTGAGTTATTTTGAGAGGACAGCAAATTTACACTGTTACACAAGCTGTATACTCACTACTTTAAATTGTAGCAAAGTGTCATTTCTTCAGGGTTGTCACATGAAAAGATATAATAAATTATTTACAAAATGTGAGGGGTATACTCACTTCTGTGATATACTGTAAGTATTTGATTCAATTTGGGTGCAAAAATGAAATATTTTGCTTTGTAAATACTTTCCTTTATCAAACATGTTGTAGCTTACCTCATGATGTATTCGTTGGTAAACTTTTTGTTCATTGTCTAAAACTACAAAGGATTCAGAGGGTGCAGCATCTCCATTGAAAATGAAGCTCAAGTCCCCTCGTTGGCACTTCATGTCAGTAAAGTCTATGAGCGTTGTGTCAAGCCTGTGGAAATATTCCAACACTTAATCTGATCCAGAAAGGCAGACATGTATAAAATAATCACAGCTTGGTTCAAAACTGTGCAACTTCAAGAGCCAGTGGGGAAGGTAAGATGACAATCTGAATGTGCTCAAAAAAAAGGAGGGATTTTGCTGTCAGTCTGTTCATGCACTTTCTTTTCAGGAAACATATTAACTAAAAGCCCTTCCTCCAAGAGGTTGCAGCTAGTTGTAGTCATTAGTAAGGAGAAAGGAACCATGGATGTTGTGAGAAGTTAAGGAAGGAGGAAATGAACTAAAGTAAGGATCAGAAACAGGACATGACTGGAAGGATCCTACTTTCCTCCATACATTTCTTTCCTCCAAGGAATCCTTACATTCCTTCTACAATGTATTCCCAACATTCTTTTTCATACATGATCTAATCTTATCTATTTGCACCTTCCCAGCTGAGGTTAGCTTTGAATAAAATCTATAAAACATTCCTAAGTTCTCTTTTGTCAAAGATGAGTATAGATGGGTTAGGACCAGAGTTTTACAAGACATTTAGAAAGTTGCTGATACCAAAATTAAAATTCCTTTTAAATAGCATTTTGGAGGGTGGAAAAATTTCAGCATCTTGGAAAGATTCTTCAATAGTTTTGATACTAAAACCTAATAAGGATTTGACAGTTCATGGAGCATACAGACCTATAGCTTTGATAAATCAAGATACAAAAATGTTTACACTAATGCTTACAAAAATAATGAATAATTCAGGCTGGTTTTTTAGTAGGGAGAAAGATGTCAGATTTGACTAGAAGAGTATTAAATGTAATAGAATTTATATCAAAGAAAAGAGTGAAAGAGGGTTTAATATCATTAGATATTTTTAAAGCTTTTGATTGTGTGGAATGGTCAACAAGAAAGATGTTGATAGAGACATTAAGATTTGGTTTACGATTTAAAAGAGTAATAAATGAATTATACTTTTCTTGCAACAGTGATAGTTCATGATGGTTTAACAGAAATAATATCCTTAGGTTGAAGCACTAGACAGAGATGCCCTCCTTCACTGATAGTTTTCTTAAGTTATAAAATTATTGGCAAATAGTATAAGAAATGACGATACAATAGAAGGAATTGGAATTAAAAATAAAACCAAGATTAACCTATTTGCTGATGATACCTTGTTAACAACTGAAGACCCGTTCAAAGTTATCAATCAGATTAAGACTTATTTGGTGTAATTTGGTGAGATAACAGGATTACAGGTTAACTGGGAAAAATCAGAGACAATGCTGTTTAATTGCAATACAGAAGAAAAGGAGGGAATAAAGAATACATTTCAGATTAGAAAATGTGATATTATTAAATACTTGTGTATTAATATTTCAAAAAATACTCCATGTTTGAAAAAGGAATAATTTTGATAAATTAAAATCTGAAATAAATAAGAAATTGCAGCCATTTAGGAAAACAAGATTATTGTGGATTGGGAGAACAGCAGTTTGTAAAATGAAAATTTTACATAAGATTAATTTTTTGAGATGAGGCTGATTAATAAATTTTGTAATGGAGATAAGAAGGCAAGGATTTGTAAGAAAAGATGGTATAAATCACAAAAAGAGGAAGGACTAGGTATTCCAAATATTATATTATGAAGAGAATCAGTTCAGACGTATACCAAATATTATTTTGCAGCCAGATGGGATGGGCAGAGATAGAACAACAGGAAACTGAGGGATCTTTTCTAAACATTCATTTTAAACAAGATAAGAAGAGTGTCAAAATGATAGAAAATCCCTTTTAAAAAAATTAATATGAATTTGGGAGAAGTACAGGGATGCATTTATGCCAATCCCCCCACCAAAAATTCCAGTTACAGAGATTAGAGGATTTCCAAAAATGTGAGGGATAGTTTAAGAAAGGAATTAAAAGAAAAACAAATATTCAGAGTAAAAGATTGAATGAAAAAATGGATAATAAGGAAAAGATAATGGCATTATTTGGAAAAGGAAATTTAACTTGGTTTAAAGTTATGCAATTTAAACAATGGACTAGAGAATGGTTGCAGAAAAATGGTAAGTGTAGAAACCTTACTAAATTTGAGGAGATTGTGATGAATAGGTAGATGCAAGGCAGAATGCAAACAAGGGGGACTATAAGTGAGATATATAAGATTTTATTACACAGGGAAGATATATATGATCTTTTAAAAAATTCATGGAAAATGGATTTAGGGAAGGAAATAGTCAAGGATGATTGGGAAAAATATGGGATATAGTCAAGGATGATTGGGAAAAATATGGGATAAAATGTATATCAATTAGAATTGAGGAAAAAATATGAATTAGTAGGAAAATGGCACATGATGCTGGTTATTTTATATTGATAATAAATATTCTAATTTATGTATCAATTTCCACATTCTATAGCTGGAAAAAGCAGGTTGCTTACCTGTAACTGATGTTCTTCGAGTGGCCATCTGTGCAGTCACACATATGGGTACTGTGCCTGCACAGTGCCTAGGGCCGGAAGATTGAAAGCTAATGGTTTTTGGCGGGAAGCTCCGCTCCCCTCCCCCTCACTAGTATATATAGAGTGGAGCGTCCGCCATTTTACTCAGTCTTTGAAGACCGATCGTTCGCCCCCTTGTGGAAGAAAAATAAATTACAGCAAGTATCGTCAGTACCGTGGATATAAAGATGTGGTACCGATGAGGAAATCCACTCACTGACACCGAGCGGGGCTGGCGGGTGGGTTATGTGACTGCACAGATGGCCACTCGAAGAACATCAGTTACAGGTAAGCAACCTGCTGTTCTTCATCGTGGCCTCTGTGCATCACACATATGGGTGACCAGCAAGCTTACCATGATCAGAGGAGGGTAGATGTCATTACTGAAGAACAGCTGAGAGAACCGCTCTTCCAAAGGAACAATCTTGTCTTACACGTATGTCCAGGCAGTAATGTCTGGCAAAAGTACATGGAGAAGCCCAAGTTGCAGCCTTACAGACATCCTGAAGCGGAATTCCTGCTGCAAAAGCTGAAGAAGTGGCTACTGCTCTTGTGGAGTGACCCCTCGGAACAACAGGTAAGTCTATCTTGGCTAGCTGATAAGACAGTGCAATGGTTTGGACTATCCATTTAGAAAGTCTTTGAGAAGTAACTGGGGATCCTTTATCCTGCTCAAAATATTGTACAAAAAGCCAATTGGAACGTCAGATAGATTCAGTCCTCAATCTGTAGAAAGCTAAAGATCGCCTTACATCAAGCGCATGTAATGATCTCTCAATCGGATTCGATGGTGAAGGGAAGAAGGCAGGTAATACAATCTCCTGATTCATATGAAAAGGAGTAGCCACCTTCGGCAGAAAAGAAGGATCCATGCGTAGAATAACCTTTTCCTTGTGGAAATTTAACTATGGAGGATCTACTCTGAGAGCATACAATTCACTAGCTCTTCGAGCCGATGTGACTGCTACAAGAAAGGCTGTTTTCCATGAAACAAGTTGCAAATCTATAGTTGCCATGGGTTTAAATGGGGCTCTAGTGAGCGCCTGAAGCACCACTGAAAGACTCCAAGTAGGCATGACAGGCCTGATCGTTGGATGCAGATTCTGAAGTCCTTTAAGGAATCTTTTTATCAGTGGTTGTGAAAAAATGGATGATCCACATATTGTGCCATGGTAGTAAGAAATTGCAGCCGTGTACACCTTTACAGACAATGGCTTGAGTATTGAAAGGTGTAGTTCTAGAAGAAACTGAAGGATATCTGCTATTGATGCCGAATGTGGAGTGAAAGAACGAGACTCAGCAAAAAAGAGAATCTCCGCCACTTCGCTGTGTAGGATCTTCGGGTTGACGGTCTCAATGCAGAGTCGAGAATCCTCTGGATTTCCGAATGAAGGACTGTCGATCCTGATGTAAAGTCCAGTGAACCCGACAGGGTAGCAGGAGCCAAAGGTTCCAAGGCGGTAAATTGAGTATCGGGTCTGTGAGATCGATCCCCGTAGGAGCTAGATGCTGCCGGTATTGAGTCGGTATCGATATTCATCGAATCTGCCAGGCTGTAAGTTTCAGTGATGCCATGTCTGGGTGACATAATGTCCCTTCTTGTTGTGTTATTAAATACAGGATGGATGGAAGATGAAGGAATTAGTTGTGAGACATGCAGAGAAGCGTGGAAAACCATGGTTGGCGTGGCCACCATAGAGTGATAAACAGTCCTGTGGCTTCGTCGTGAACAATCTTCGATACTACTTTCATTATGAGTGGGATCGGAGGGAAAGAGTAGAAATTAATCTCATTCCATGGGAGCATGAAGGCATCCCCTGCTGATCCCAGTCCGATTCCTGCTCTGGAGCAGAAATTCTCGCATACCCTGTTCTGATGGGTAGCGAACAAGTCCATGTCGGGATGCCCCCAATGACGGAAGAGTTGGTCGCAGATCTGTCGATCCAACTCGCATTCGTGGGATGTCGACATCTGTCTGCTCAACAGATCTGCCTCGACATTGTCTGTACCGGCTAGATGAACTGTTATGAGAGTAATGTCCCTCGGGATGCACCAGTCCCATATTTGCATCGCAAGTCAGGCCAAAGCGGCTGACTTCGTTTCACCCTGCTAGTTCACGTAGAACACTGCTGCGATATTGTCTGAAGTTATCTGAACGACCTGATGTTGGAGCATGTCCTCGAAGGATCGTAGCGCTCTGAAGATGGCGAACAGCTCGAGGAAGTTGATATGCTTTGTGGACTCCTGTCGGTCCCAAGCACACTGGGTTCGAAGAGTAGAACACACTGCTCCCCAGCCAACCAGGGATGCGTCGATACAAAGAGTCACAGTAGGTTGTGGGGGTTGGAAAGGAATCCCTGCATTCAAATTGGCTGGAACTGTCCACCATATCAAGGATCACAGGACAGAGGACGGAAGCCGGATTAGTTTCGTAGGCGAGTCCTGATGTGGTCGGAATCAAAGCCTGGCATGCGGAACGGTGGCCACCGACACGGCCATATGTCC